TTCTAGGTTGGAGGCCATTGCTATTAGGTTGGAGGCCATCACTTCTAAGTTGGAGGCCATTGCCATTTTTTGAAAAATACATATATATATATACATATTGCTAATGGGAAAAAACATATTGCCTGAGGTTTCACGGTGTTTGCCCCGGCCACGGCCCCACTGACCACTCTCAGGAGCCCGAGCTGCGAGACCTCGACAGTGGCTCGGTGTAACGCCGGAACTCTGCTGGAACTCGGACTTGGGTGGACTTGGGGGGCGGAATTTCAGTTTTTGCAGTTCTTTGATTTTTGCTTAAGAGATGAGGTGCACGTAGGTGCACGTTGTCAAGGACTTGGCATCCCCAAATTGTATCCCAAAATCGTTCATTTTTGGTTTAGCCGTTTTACCATTTGCTTACGGAAGAAAAGAAGAAAGGTCCGGAGTCTGCTTCATCGTTCGTCGCTATGTGTTGGAAAATGCAGACATTCAGTTGGTCGTGCAAACCATCGGATGGACAGGCACGGCCGGCTAGGTTTTCTTGTCAAGAGCCGTAGATGACACCATAATCAGAGTGGGTGAACTTGTCCATGGATTACCATGGAAGACATGGAACATCTTGGTCGAAGAACGAAATCTGCGACGACTTCGGACGGTTCTTCCAAGGTGATGTCCCGACTGCCGCTCCAGCAGCATCCTTGGGAGCTCTTTTTCCGGGATGCACTGCTTGAGCACTGCCCAAACACTGCCCAAAGATTTTATGCCAATCCATTCATTCTACCCCCAGAATTTAACAGGTACCACTTTATACTATTTATTTGTGAACTGAGACGAGTATGTTGTATAAGTACTAGTACCAGACCGAAGATGTGCGCAGAATTTCGGACTCGTTGATCGAGGTCGAGGACCTGGATCCTTCCAGCCCGTTCTTGCCGCGCCTCGGTTTCAAGAACCGTGGCTCGTACATTGCCGCCCCACATCGGAGGTCATTCACTTGTCGATGACAAGTCGGAAATGGGATCAAGCATCACTTGGATTCAGCATCACTGCATCACTTTTCAGTTTCGGTCCGAATTTGGCCCGCCGAAGGGGATGCTAATCATCGCGTTCATCGCGTCAGTGAGGCTACGAGTTGCACTCAGCGTCTCCTGTGCTGGGCGCCTAGAGATGATAGGTCTCGAATTGTCTCAAGGGTTTCCAAGGAAAAAACTCGGAGTTATGCTGATCCATATGCTGAGTCAAACTAAACCAAAATCCTGCGAACTGTGAGCAAACCTCGGATTTTGCACGCATTAGTGGTTTGACCCTTATCCCTTACTCTTCAAGTTTGATCCAAACGTCATCATTGTTGCAGGTTCTGTAGGTAGCAATTCGAATTACCGATCAGCGGGTTTTGCAACTTGTCAGGGTCCTGCTTTTCGTAGGATGGAGGCCATCGCTACTAGTAACAAGAAGCTACTAGGGTGGAGGCCATCGCTATTAGGGTGGAGGCCATTCCTATTAGGTTCCTTTTGTTATTAGGTTGGAGGCCATCGCTGTGGTTGCATAGCTTCTGATCGCGATATCCAGGTGGTGGCTCGAGGTGCTCTGAATGGGAGCGTGCTGAAAAAGTTGGATGTCTGAGCCCTGACACGCACCAGAGTGGTTTCCAGAGAGCATCTTGCTTCATGCGATGGCCTCCAACCAGAGGGCATCTTGTGGTTCATGTTCTTTCCAGCTCATCACTGCGGGCCGCGAGCCCTTTTGAAGCAGTCATTTGGGACAAACGGCGACCCTCGAACACGTTTCCGCCGTTCAGCGCTCCACGTACAGAAGATGGCTAGCGGCTAGAATCAACACCCACTCAGCTTGGGTTTCCCCGCACCCAAGAGGACGAAGCAGCAAGCCTGCATGCTTGAACTCTGGGCCCGGGCCGGAGTTTGTTTGCTTTGACCCGGTGAGGCACTGACCAAAGGATTGATCGATGTGACGGCGATTGTCTTGTGCACCGTGATCCAGGTGTTGGCTTGGATCCCCAGACCTTGAAGATAAAAGGGGGGGACTCGTCACACTGCAGTGTTGCTCTTGTTTTCAGTGACGGGTGCTGAGAATTTCAGGTTGCATGCCAAGTTGCCTGATTTGATTCCACCTAGGCCCAGGGAAGACAGACAGACGTCACCGCCATGGGTCTTCAGATGATGATGTTGTTGCCTGGCTGAGACTAGGTGGGTTGAATCCCACCAGCTCCTGACTGCCATGTTCCTTCCAAATCCAATGCGCTTTTGGCGCCAATACTTAGGCAATCGATCGGCAATCGATCTTTTTCCGGGCTGTCAAAAGAAAAGGAAGGCCAATATAAAGACAAGCCCTCACAAGAAATGTCTCAGCTGTCTATCTTTGAGCGACAGTTGATTGGACCTACACCAACTGCTCAAGAATCCTGGCGAAGAAGGATAAATATGACGCCCATGGCCATAGGTTGCGAGTCAACAGATGTGCAAAAGCATTTGAGGACTTCTGTTTTCACGATGTTTCATATGCGGTTGCACTTCTAGCCATCTTGGCTGTGCCAATGTCTTCATCCAACAATCTCTCAGGCTCTCAGTGCTCGGCTTCGTCTCCGTGGGAAGCTCACATGACCTCAGACTGCTTTTCTTCACTCTTTGTCTGCCACCACCGTGAAACATTACCGTTTCTTTTCGTGACCGCCGAAAGGTTTTGACTGGCACAAGTTTTGAGCGAATCACGGTGCAGATTCCAGGCCCGGCAAGTGGCGCCTCCCATCGGCCTGAAGCTGAGGAGTTTGCAAGTGATGATAGAAAATAGGTTCATGCAGGAAAGATGCTGAAAAGGGTTCATGTGATTCATGTGTGCAATTCTTTGCAAAAGGGCTCTTCTGAAAACATTTGTCGCTGCAGATAAATAGACTTGGCCACGACAAAGCAGAACTACCCTGCAGCACAACCTGAAAGAAGCGGAAGAGCGACAAATCAGCCTTAAGGCTTCTTTGTTACTAGTAGCGATGCCCTTTGTTCCTAGTAGCTTCTTGTTCCTAGTAGTAAGGCCAGGAGCCCCTAGTAGCGTCCTTGCTCCTAGTAGCGATGCCCTTGCCTTAATGAAATGATTGACTTGGAAACGAGACTCAGAGACTGTGTTGCCAAGTCGATGAGCCGCCCTTGCTGCCTTTGCGGCAGAAGTCTCCCAGGGTGTGGCCTTGGGAGGAAGAAAGGCGGGCGATGGCCAGGGCGTGGGGAATTGATACTCGTTAGTGGAAGCGAGTTAACTCAGGGTGAGATTCAGTGTTTTGGAAGCACAAGCACTGCAAGCAATCAGAAGTCTAAGAAAAAGAGGTGAACAAATAGAGGCAACGGCCCTTTAAACTCTTTGAACTCTTTTCCATCCTTTTCTCAAGACCCTTTCTGTAGTACATGGTGGAAGCCTCTTGTTTCTAAAGAGACCTATTGTTGGTCTGGTGGTGCTGCTTATTCCCAAAGATCAGCCTTGTAACTGCTAGCTGCAGCTTGAACAGATGTGCAGCCCAGCCATTCTCCGCTCAGGCCAATTCCAAAAGCCTTGTGATTGATGGACTCGCGTCTCCATACTTTTGTTGTCTCAAGACAACTCTTCATAGCTGAAAGAGCACCCAAAATGGAGACCTTTGCCATTCAAGGCCAACAAGCCCTCTGGCTGCAAATTCCATGGTGCTTCTGCAGAATACATCTCCTGAGAGAAAATGTGGAGCTTCAGGTGATTTGATGTGCTTTCCCATTCGCCTTCACCGTGCTTTACCCCCAAATGGCCTCATCGTTTGGTCCGTACCTTTCCTAACCCAGGCGCAACTTGGATTTGAGGTGTTCTTTCCTTCTTGTTGAATACCATTCAGAGACTCATTGAGTCTTGCCGGAATGTATATCAGTCTGGATTTGTGCTGCACTTTTGCTCAGCTCAAGAGGTTTCACCTAGCGCAAGTCTTAGCCAAGAAAACTGCCTGAAGAGTTCTGTCACAGGTAACTAGGGACCAAGAGGGATGTAAAATGAGCACTGGACTTTGTATTGGACTTTGTGAACTTCCTTTATCGTAGATTCTCTGAGAACCTCCAAGAGAGGAACTCAAGCGACGACAGGAACGACAGTGACGACAGGAACTGGTGGAGGGTAGGAGTCGGTCGGAGTCGGTAGGACGTGGGGACTTCCAATCTCGGCGCGTCGGACGCCGACGGGCGGATTTCAGTGACACCATGGCGTAGATGGCTGCGACTTGGCTACAAAGGGCATCGCCACGAACGGAGCAATGACGCTACTAGTAGCTCCTGGCATTGCTACTAGTAGCAAGAAGCTAGTAGTAGCAAGGACACTATTCGGTGGAGGCCGCAAGTAGGTTGGAGGCCATCGCCACTAGTAACAAGAAGCTACCAGTAGCTATTTGCTAGTAGTAAGGGCCAGGAGCTACCTGATCTCAGCAGGTCAGACAGATTGATGGTCTTCTTTTCATTGCGTCGGCTGTGTGGTCCCCGTTTTTCCTCAGACGCCGTTCGCTTCCGGGACGATGCTGCCGGTCGTCCTTTAAAATAATATATATATAGTCATATAGTGATCGTTTCCAATACATTTTCTGTCCATTTGGGGGATCCTAGTAATTACAATTCTAATTATATAAAGTCTTATTGTTAGTAGTAAGGCACTTGTTTCTACGTTCGCTTCTTGTTACTACTAGTAAGGCACCTGCTACTACTAGCGATGCACTTGTTACTACTAGCTTCTTGTTATCCTCTAAGTTTTTGTCACTTCTTCGCCTCTCCGAGAGTCCGTGAGTAGAGCCCGTTTGTCACAGGACCTTGTCTGCGGCAATGACTGTGGTGGGATCGCATGGGACTTCGAAGTACAACAGCTCACTTTTGGTCTGACGCTCAGAGCGTGACGCGAGCGAACGACACCAGGACGGATGACTGGATGCAGTGCTTGACACATCACCCCCGTTCGGTGGGAAGAACAACACTGGGGGTCCGAATCTGTTTTGCAACGCACTTGATTGACTTTTGTCGAACCGAGCTGGGTGTCTTCGGTTCGAAGAGGCGACTCGGATGACCGGAGGTGGTGGCATCTGGGGCGCCTTCTTCGGGCTGGGGCTGGCCTTGTCCATCACGGGTGCGACCTCCAATGTGGACAGTTGGCGGATGTTCCTGGAGATCACCTGCCTGAGGCGGCATTGAACTGTTTCTTTTTTTTCTTCGAAAAAACTGCGAGACCTCTCTGAGTCTTGAAACAAAACTGCAGTTCAATGATGAGGGGGTGTGAAATGTTGGTAACTAGACTCAGCAACCTTGCGGTCTCAAAGAAACGTTGGATGCGTCTCAAAGCACGACTTCTCCAAGACAAATCAGAAAGTAGATGAACGTCCGTTGGTTGGATGCGTCAGCATATTGACTCCGAATTCGGAAAACCAACTCAACGTGTTGATATCAAGCTGAGGATAAGCACCTCGAAGTTTTTCCTCGTCTTGGACTTCTCATTAGCGGCAATTACCTGCATTCATTTCTGCGTGCGAACGCTCGGAACCAAGACTTGCTAGAAAGATCAAACACGTGGCAAATTGGGTCGAGCTACAGTGATATACAGATATTCATATATTTATTTTTCTCCTTCTTGTTTCATATCTTGGTAGACCTTTGAAGACGAAGCAAGATAAGACCTGCAATTGACGGGTTTCCTCCAGCTCACGAAGAGCTGCAAGAAACTGGTGGAGGTGAGTCACAGCTCTGCAAGAGATTCATCGATTCCATCTGACTGTTGTTCCCTCGACCGAGGTACACTGAGTCCTTAACAATGGTCGGCTTTGTGCTGGAAGCTATCGCAGCTGTATATTTTTTTGGCACCTTGGAAAAGAGACCAGCAAGAAACGGAAAGGATACCAGGATGCGAGGCCATCACTAGCTGCTAGTGACTCGCATTTGTTTTTGGATTTGCGAGGCCATCAGTCAGTTACCCGCAGGTTTGAAATGCAAGAAGCAAATGGTGCTGCTCTTCCTGATTTGCATCACCTGCATCAGAGGTTTGTCCATCTATCTGCAAAGTGCCTGCACACTGCAACTGCTAACTGCTTGAGGTTTGATGTTGCCTTTCTGGGGCTTCGCGCACTGCGAAGGAATACTCTCCGGCCTGCGCTGGATGCACCTTGATGAAATTGGTGTGATACCACAGCTGGTTCCAGCTCCAATGTCTCATTCTTGATCGGAGTCCATGTTGCAGCGAAGATTCGTGCGGAATTTTTGCTGAGGTTGATTGATCGAGCTATTCCTGATGCTCTTCTGATAGGTTCCTTGGCCCTGAACCGTGCTTTCTTTTCGTAGTGAAAGACAGAAACACTCTCGGTGTGTCGTGTGTGGTGCGGAAAGCCGATTTGTCATGACGACACATAAACGACCCTCCGCCTCCGGGTCGGAAACTGGTATGCATTTTTTAACATGAGGAAGTCACCAAAACCACAAACACCATGTAAACACCCACATGCTTCATGGCAGTGGTTGTGATAAATGCACGGAGCCTGACTGTGTTCGCTACAAAACTCTGTATTCTGTGGTAGAATTGACATGTCTTTTGGCAATTCGTCGTATCGTTTCTACGGAACAGTGAAACACATAGGAACGGAGCCGCAAAGCTCGCACTCTCTTTTTAGCGTCGAGACACAGCTCTTTCGACAGCTCTTCGGCGCAACGTGCCATCAGGTTGTTGGTACCTGTGTGCATGAAGCGCCCGTAGAATCTTTTGTCGATGAACATGTTGTGAAACGGACCATCATGGTCTCTACATCGATATCCATGGCCACCAGGTCGAACTAATCAGATTTATAGCTGTCAAAATCAGCACTACACGTTCGGTTCCCGACCGTGTGGCATAACCGAGTGCAGAGAAGGCCAAGCACACAACAAACCGCTTCTAGGTTGGAGGCCATCCCTTTAACAAAATGAATCTATTTAACAAAGATCATGAGACTTGACTTTCCAGGGGCAGTCATCTGATGCCAGGTGCGGTTGCAAGCCTGCCAGTGGCGGAGCATCAGGCAACCGACACTGACCGTTGTCACACTGGTTCGTTTGTGTAGCCGTGTAGTCAAAGCCATCGTCGAGAATTGACTCATAGCTATCAATATGAATCGTCGGATACTCTCGGCGACCGGCAGAAATCAATCCTGGCAGGGCAAGAAGACCTGGTTTGCACCCTCATGGCTAGCGGTCTAGCTCTCAGAATTTGGTCAACCCAGCTCTTTGGATCCAACGACACGTCCGGGTAGGCCAGTCCACCGCTGCGTCCGATCCGACTTCGGCCTAGGCCATCCACCTGCTGCGGTCTTGGGGGAAGCTTCTCAGAGTCTACAAGATCAATCTGGAGGCCTTCGGGGTTTTCAATCTTCTGTCATTTCTTTTGAGGATTGGGATACCAGGTGTTGATATACCAGGATAAGATGTGACACCTGGATGTAGCAACAAGGATACAACCAACCGATACATGCATGCATGCATGCATGCATGCATACATTGATGCATCGAAGCGGTGGACACAGAAGCATGAGGAAGGTTGCTAGATTCCTACTCCGCAACTTTAGCTATCGATTTTCATTTGCCGACATGAAAGCTGTTTGTCAAATCTTGGTCATTTCGATGCCGGAAGCCACCCACGCCCACGCAGATGTTTCGAAATCAGATCATCGATGCGATTGTCTCAACTGCATTCAAGGCCGTGCAGAAGAATCAATTCTTCGAACTTCCTGGAGTCAAGCAGTCTCTAAGATTTGCTTTCCTTCTGAAGCCAAGCAGTCTCTGTACAACGTCAGTGTCATTTGCGACGTTTGGGTTCGGATCCGACGTCGCGAATCGACGGGACAGGTCTATTTGATGGCCATGATGATGCTCACCTTTGAGCCTTGCTTCTTTTATGACCCCAAAACCATGACAATAACACACTACTCATCACAAAGACACCTTTTGAAAACCACTTGTTTTGGACACCATGTACCTTGGAATTTTTGGCCCAGGAGAACTTGGGTGAGCCTCCCTTCATGGCTGAATTCTCGCAGGAGTTCACCTGGCCGCTAATGGGGTTTTACGCTTCGAATGTTCGTAAGGCCTCGAGGTCTTGGGTTTTAAGAGGCACTTTAAGAATGCTACGGAATAGTGCTAGCTACTTCTCACAAAGACGCCAATACTTGCGGATGTGGAACACTGCCTTCACGACAGGAGAAGTGGAACACCATCTCCTCCTTGTATTTCATCCTCACCAGTTGCTCAGCTCTGCCGAGTTGGGCTGATCTGATTGAAGCTGAGTAAGTAGAATCGAGGAACTCCAATTATCCGCCCAAATTAATATGAATCTTCATCACCACGCAAAGACATGATTTATTTGCGATAACCAACATACTTGATACTTGATGCATGCTTTTTTTAATTATGAGTCCCCAAACCGTTTACTGTTGGGGTTCACCCCTTCTCTCTTAGGAAAATGGGGCTAGCAGCGATAGCCGCGGCCGCGCGGTCCGCCCTTTCTTCACCACCTTGTCTGGGTTTGTTTCTTTCATCTTTGCACATGACACCCGGTAATCCGGGCAGGGCTTGGCAAACACATGGTGTTTGTTTGTGTTCCCTGTTCCCAAACAGCTGGAGGCAATAGGAATATATATATATATTAAAAATTACAGACGTTGCCACCGACATCGGGTTTCAAGGAGTTGACGCAACAAATCCAGCTGAAACTGTTTGAAGTCTATACTGACTATACTGGTATAAGTATTCAAGATATTTCAAGATGATGTCAAGGGCAAGGGAGGCCTCTCCACAGACTTCTCTTCCTGCGCGCATATTTGCGCAGAATTCCCTTCTCCACATTCCCAACAGATCTCTCTGACAACGATCTCTCAGGTGTGGCCACTGTGGGCTTTGGCGATCTAGCACCTGTCACCAGTTCGGAGCTCCCAGAAGTGGAGAGGGGATTGGGTGGGCTGATTGAGCGTTCGGGCGAACGCTGTCGGGTTTGGATGTGATGGATTGAGGCTTTGCCTTTTTCGTGAGTGAAGATGTGAGGGTTGTTTCGTCAGCTCGTTCTGTTTTGGCTTTCAAAACGTCCACTTCTTTGACTGGCAGGGTTTCAGGGTTTCCGGGTTGACACCCACAATTGCTCCTTGTTTTGGACAATCGCGGACAATCACATTCAACGCGCCTTGGACCAAATTTTTGCTAAATGCAATTTCCTTCACGATCGACGACGGCAAAAGTCATGCCCTGTATGGGAGAACACGAAAAAGAACCTTGTTTTTTGGTTGCATGCTATGCTCAAAATGCATGTCCAAACGCTTTGAAAGCATTCGTCAGACTTCGTAAGGCTTGCAGCTTTGACTGAAGACTTGGACTTTAAACCGGGATGACTGACTGTGACGACAGAGTGCTGCTCCAGGCCTTGGGCGAATGTGTACAGTCTTTGCCATTTACTTCGGCTTGGCATGGGTTGCCACGGTGGCCTATAGAAGCTTGCAGGCGCCTCACGCCATCCATGGGCATCACTAGATGCCTCACGCCTTGCAAGTTTGAACGAGACAAATGGGAAGGGATACTCAGAGCACTCAGCTACTCAGAGCACTCAGCTTCTCGTGTTTGTCCTTTTGAGTCTGTTTGGCGCGCATGCCCGTTTTGCAGATTCTGGCGGTGAACCAAACGGGTGGAGGCTTCTTTGAGCCGATTCTGCATAGCAAGTGCCTTGGCAGTATGAGGATTGATTCCCAGACACTGAAATGCATCAATGGTTTGTCAGGTGTAAGTCTTGCGAGTGTCTAGCACAAGCACAACTGGCGAACGTGGATCAGATAGGTTACGGTGAGTTCGGATGCTTCAGGTATATCGTGGTCCTTGGCAACCCCACTGGGCTGATGCTCAGGATGTCGAGTTGATCCACGAGTGATCCACGATGGTTTGCTCGTGTGGACATTTGATTCTACTTGTAAACTGGTAAACTTTCTTGTAGAAATCATCCGGAAGAATCTTTCTGTCGTTTTCAGATGGGGGTCTGATGGAGCGGTCTAGCGAGCGGTCGGCTAGTAGCGCATCCGCCTCGGCTCGGGTTCCGCTCAGCTCGGGCTCGCAGGAATTTCTTGGCAGAGATTTTTCATCCTGACCACGCGGAAGATTCTGATGATCTCCATGTGTCTGTCAACTGGTAGCGAGAGGAACACCCACACCGAAGTCCCGAACGTGACGTGTTCGTAGCGATGCCCTTGCTACTATATAGTAAGCAAGCGATTGTTTTGCATTTTCTCAAATCTGCATTGTGAGTGTATTGGAGAAGCTATTTGTGCAAAAGTAGCAATGGTGGTGTTTCATCCTTGGTTATCCCTGGCCAGTCCGAGCGACAGCAACCTAGTCAATCAACGCTCTCATGCTGGTGGCAAACCATCTTCAGCTTAATATGTCAAGGTTGCAATTCTTTTGCCACCTTCCAGTAAGGATCTCACAGGTACAAAAAGAAATCAACTTCCAGGGTCGCTTTCTCCCCGAGGTGATCCTTAGCGCTGGCCATCCTGGAGTAGAGCTGGTCACTGAATGGCTGCGACAGCACCTTGACTGAGAAGGACTGTGGAACTCATCAGCCCTGTGGACCCAAAACATTTGGCTTGGGAGAAAGATACGAATCATTCAAAGAAGTTGTGGAGATCGCTATGTGGTTGGAGGCCAGCGCTATTAGGTTGGAGGCCATTGCTAGCTATCGCTAATAGGTTGGAG